GACAGCAATAAGAAGAAAATAATTTCAGAAAATTTACATATGTTATGTGATCCAAGGGGGAGAAATACAAAACCAGAACTCACCGAGTTCATGTCTGGCTGTATCACTGACTTACTGTCTTTATGAATCAAAACCATCTTTCCAAATTCCTTTGATTTCTTCAATTGTAAGGTGACAGTTTAGAACCAGGTGATCCTCTGCCATTTTTTTTACCTTAGAAATCGATGATTCACACATGTAGACAAGTAGAAGCCACTACTGGTTCACTGCACTACTACTAATGATCTGTTCTTTGCCCAGAATACCTAAGTTTCTACCTAAGCCCTGACACTAAGCAGCGAAATAATAACAGGCCAGTAGTTTAGTCCTCTTTTGCTTTAGTTTCTTTGTCAGTAAGAGAGGTAATAAAAGTATCTTTGACTAGTGTGAGAATTAAACATTAACAGGAAGCACACAGAAGAGAACCAAGAAGTGTTACAATGCCTTGTATTTGTAGCACCACACTCTGACTCCCCCTTCCCCTGAAATCCTTAAACACTACAGATGAAAAATTATGTAATTTTCCTATGACTCAACTGGAGAGGAAATATTCTGCTCTACTTAATTTTGAGTAATGAAAAGGTGCAGCTTTGAATTCCGCACATAAAATGATGGTCTTCATATAAATAAGTGGGTGAACTGTCTTCCTCTATTAAACTACTTACTGCAAGAGCCAAGGTTTCCAAACAGCTTCCCCGTGGGATAAAGAAGGCTTTTCTGAAAGGAAGCTTTCTAGAACCACGTTAAACTCCTGAGGTAAGGGAATGCTTACTGCTGAAGAGCTGCTTGTCTGCCGTTCGTGCATGGAAACCCTCATAGGACAGGCTGGGGTAACTATGAAAATAAATCCAGTGACCCTTGACCATCTTGCGGAGAACCGAGAGAATATGACTGAATAGGATTCTGTCACCCTCTAAGTGGTATTTTATCCATTAGGCTGACTGCATCCCAAATATGTCTTGGGAGCTTTTCTGGGGGAAAAGGAGAACACTCACTAAGCAGAGCTTTAATTCTTTCTCTACCTGCACAGGATAAACCACAGGGAGGCTGAGTCAGTGGTTCTCACGTTTTGTACTTAATAATCATCTGAGGAACCTGATAAAATTCAGATTTCTGTCCCCCATCTCCAGAGATCAGTTGTATCTGGTTTTAATATGTTTCTCAGGTCATTCTGATACTTACGGCTCCCAGATAAAATTCTGAGAAACACGGCATAAACAAATAATCCTCAGACATTAACACTTTACATTTGTAATATGCCTGTTATATAAGGAAAAAAAAGACCTTCCAGACACCTCACCTCACATTTCCAACCACAGTCCACCAGCAGAGACAAAAAGGCCATGTATTTTTAACAAGAAAGAAAAAGATTTTTTTTTTCTTTCTGAAATATACATTATATGATGAAACTCCTCAGAAAACAAAGGTAGAAGGCTCAATATACTCTTTAGAAGACAAGTAAAAAAAAGATTTCAGCATTTCAAATTACTATAGTTAATATAATTTCACACTTCCTACTGCTAGAAGTTTAAGAAAAGAAACACAGTCACAGTATAATTTAGAAACATGGATGAACTAATCCTTCTGTTCCCACAGCTAAATTATGGTCTAGGCTAAAACAACATACAGATGAGAACTTGGCAGAATGTTGACCTTTATCAACCACCAGCTGATTGACTGATTTACCTACAGCTCAGAGTAAGCACTGCTTCCAGCAGAGTGGTCTAAGGAACACCGAGGCCAGAATCACATGGATAAGAATGTATCTTAACCCTATTCCACAACCACTGAGACAGAACCTGAGGGTTTATGTCACAGGATTTTATGTTTTGACATGTTCCCTATGCAACACATCATAAGCTCACTAAGTAAAGTTTGAGAATCAGAAGTGAAGAGAGAAGGAGTTATTAGTAATAGAGAAATGAAGACAGCAGTACAACACCCTTATCTGTATTAGTAAATGCCATTCCTTGGACTGACTTTATTTGCAAATTCTGACAACAATGTAATAAATGCCATCACACGCCTATTAGAATGATTGAAAACAAACAAACCAACTGAGAACCATCAAATGTAGATGAGAATGCAGAGCAGCATCACCACAGTTGCTGGTGGGAAGGCAAAATGGCACAACCACTTTAAAAGACAGTTTGGTGGTTTCTTACAAACCTAAGCATGATCTTACCATACAACAGAGCAAGAGTACTCTGTGGTATTTACCTGAAGGAGCTGAAAACATATCCACACAAAAATCTGCATGTGGATATATACAACAATATTATTCATAAATGCCCCAAACTAGAAGCAACCAAGATGCATTTTAATAAGTGGATGGAAAAACAAAATTATGGCACATTCGTAACCATGAATGATAAATGAATGATAACAAAGGAACTATCAAATCATGGAAAGATCTGGAGGAACCTTAAGTGCAGCTTGAAAGCCAGTTTGAAAAGGCTCCATATTATACCATAAGATTCCAATTATACAATGCTTTGGAAAAGGCAAATCTATGGAGATAGTAATCAGTGCTTGTCAGAGATCAGGAGGAGAGAAGATGGACAGGTGAGAGCACAAGACATTTCAAGGACTGGGAAATCACTTTGTATGAATGATCCATGTCATTATGCATTTGTGAAAACCCACAGAACTACAAACATCACAAAGAGTGAGTCTTAATGAAAATATGGGTTATAGTTAATAATCATGTGCAAATGTTGGTTCATTAACTGTAACAAAAAGCAAACCCCAACACTGTTTCCATCACTGTGGTGGAGGATGTGACACTAACACTTTGTACTCTTATCCATGTGATTCTGGCCCTGGTGTTCCTCGGACCACTCCCAGAAACAGTGGTTACAACTGCGCTGTAGGTAAACTCTGTTCATCAGCTTGTGGTTAATAAAGATCAGCATTTTGCCAATTCCATTCAGTGAATTATAAAACATAAAGCAATATGTTAATAGAAGAAACTATGTGTGTGGGATAGATAGTATATGAAAGTTGGTGTATTATCTGGTCAATTATTCTGTAAGTTTGTACTAAATGATAAGAATCTATTAATTATTTTGAAAATAATAATAAAAAATAAAACAAAGTCACAAGCTAGCAACTGCACAGCATCAGCTCGCTGGACTTAAGGGAAAGGTTCCGCATGCCACCTGCACTCTGTCGTGTCCCGACAGCTGGCCAGAGACAATCCCTGTGACTGAGGGGCAAACAGGGGAGCCCACAAAACACACCAGAAACACATCGAGCAGAGCAGACCTGCGGTGGAGACGCGGGGCCCACATGCTGACAACGCATCTCCAGAACACTCTCCTCCAGGGCCAGAGCAGCACACTGCAAGGCCGGCCCACAGCCTGGGAAGCAACAGCCCACATCTCTGCTCCCCTCCACCCTCTCTCCTGAGAGAGGGCAGTTCGAAACGGCCTTGATTCCCAGGCAGACCACTGTTCAAGCTACCCCAGGGCCAAGCCCAGCCCCTCGTCTCCTGCTACTGTAGTCCAAAGAAAGCAAGTGACCGGTCTAAGACTGTTAAGAGAGGAAGTAATAGCAAGACTGAAACACAACTGTCATTTAAAAGCCAAATTTACTTTTTTATCCTGTTGGGCCCCTACCATTTATAGCTCATTTTCATGAATGTGAAGAATTGATCCCTTGATAAGATAAGGGATCCCTTATCCCTTAATAAGATCCCTAAATAAAAAGCTGGTTAAGACCAGCTTTCCATTTAGCCTTATATTTAATCAGAAGCACCAATTATTAATAGCAATTAAGAAATCAGCACAGCTAAAGTAGAACTACAATTAATACACGTGAGAAAATTTGTGGGTAACAAAGATACAAGGTTAATCAATTTGGTGTTAACAAATTAAATTGTTATGAATGCTTTATAACAAATTGAGGTGTAAATCAAATCAAGTTTTATTTGAATTATGTACATTTAAAAATCAACATTTATTGAGTGAGAAATATGCATCAAGTCTGCTCTAGGTACTTTACATATTTTATCCTCACACATTTAATCTTCTCGATAATCTTAAGAGATTAACAACAATCCTACAATTCCCATTTTACAAATGGAGAAACTGAAGTACAGAAAAGTAAAGCAACTTGCTGAAAATAACACAAGATTAAAACCCAAGAGATATAGCACCAGAACCCATGTTCTTAGCCACCATGCTGTCCTGTTTTAAACTGTATGATTTTTTTTCATAAAATACATTTTATAGAAACCTAATAGTTTTTATATTCATATAAAGCTGTATTTATATAACAGCCATTAACATTTCCAACTGTACAGCATGAGCATTTAATCTACCCAGCATTTTAGGAACATTGTTATAAATAGGCAACTAAAACCCACGAGTTATATACTAAGGATACAATTTTAAGGCATTTTTAGATGTTCTTCTAGTGATAGTTTTAAAAGATAAAAGGAAACTTTTCTATCCTGTGGAAATTAGTGACGGTCAATCTAAGAGATGCTGTTGTCAGGTCTCAAATTACTTAGGCATATAAGGAAAAAGAAAGAGACAGCCTTAGATGCTGCTGTTATTCAGCTATTAACACACTGTTTACATTAACAGTTATAATGCATTAAAAGACACTGATCAAACTGACTTAACTAGAGGGAAAACATATGTGATTCATGATTTTAAACCACTACGAAAAGTGAGCCAGAGTTACAGGCCCGATAATCTAAAAGAGGTCAGCAGGCAGGTGGCTCTGCTCACACTTCAGCTATTCCACCATGTGGGACAGAAGACGAGACCTTCTTCCACAGCAGTAACTAGAAAAGGAAACCCAAGTCTAACGTCATCTACATTTTTTTTTTTACCACTGCAGACAAAATTTCTGATAACAAAGTCCACTGCCAGCACACCGCTGTAAACAGAACTATTACCAAAAGAGAACATGTTCTTTGAATTTTTCACACCGAATTCTTTGTTGCCTACCTGAAATCCATGCTTGCCTCTCCACCATGTACTTAACACTTTGGGGGGCATGTCAATAACAGAAACAATGTCTCCCACCTAGGAGAAAACATTTTAAGTGAAATGTTTTTAATCAAATTGTAAAGCAATCATCTGCCTAGAATTTAAATCTAAACTGTTAAACTTTAAATCTGAACTGTATCTTATTCTCTGGCTCATTATTTCTAGAAAAACATTATATTTCTTTCTGTAAAGAATTTAATAATCTTAACCATTTGTTAAGAAGAGGTTTATAAAAAGTTAAGCAGCACAAAGACTGTGGTCCAAGTAACGTGCAGTAACTTCAGAAAGCCTGATTGACAGTGTGAGATTTTTTAACACTAGGCATCATCACAGAGTTAAAAAACTATTACTGCTGCTACTAAAGGTAATCAGATTCACTTATAAAAGGAAATTTTAAATTACCATATTTAGAACAACAACAGCTTCTATTAATACACTCAGTGAGCTGCTTGCCATGTACCAGGCATTGGGCTGAGCAATTAATGTATCTTATTTCATTATATAGGAACGCTCTAAGATGTCTACAATTACTGGGTTATTCTTAGTACATGTAAAATTGAATGACAGCTACATTTCTTTCAAAAGGCGGTTCAATATAACATTCCCACTGAACAGCTGACTTTGTTCACCCTAAAAGACAAACTAATGAGTTTATACAAACTTTTACTAAATCCTAAGTATAAAAATAGCAAGAATAGTTTTTAATAATATACTTAAAGGAAGTTGTATTCTTCAATCAAAATAAGTGATGATCTCTGTGATAAACCAGTTAGGCACTGCAGAACAATGTTGCTAGTGTACACAATATTGCTTCACGAATTTTTGTGGTATATTCATGACTAATTTTTCCAGTCATGAACATTCTCTTCACAAAACCATATTTGCTAACAGACACGGTATCTTTCAAGATCAAGGATTCTTTGTGTATAGAGCTAAAAATTTAGTTGAGAACTATTTGAATTCTGTACAGTAAAAATGTACACTTTTTTCCTCTTAAATTGAATAATTGCCAGCATTTTCTTTTGATCTCTCATCAGCCAGTATTAACAGAAGAAACTTAAATCCCCTTTTTTTGTATCTGATAGCAAGAAATGTTCATTTCACTTTTCATCTGGTCTTTACCTCAATCTATGAACAAAGAGAAAAAGTATCACTGGGTATTGTTTTTAGGTGCCAAAAAAAAAAGACAAAAGACAAGAAGATCTGGCTTTCAAGAAGCTCATAGAGACAAACAGGAGAACAACTTTGATTGAATGTAATAAGTGACTCTCAGAGATAAGCCTTGAGAACAGCTCAGAATGACATTCAGTGCAGGCTCTGGGCAGGAGTTAGGGGGGCAGAGGGGGTGGGGGTGGGGGGAGAAGTGGGGTATGTATTTCTTGGAGTAGAAGGAAGAAAATCAGGGAGACTTCCTAGAAGAAATGGGGGACATTTAAGCTGAATTTTTAAGAATGAGTATAGTCATTAGAATAAAAATAGATGGCATGCCAGGCTGAAAGACAATAATGGGCAGAAACACCTGGTGCTTTTTGTTAAGTAAATGATTGACACAAAGATGAGACTAGAAAGGCAGCACGGAATGAGCTAACACAGAGTATCTTTGGTCACTTACCTCTAAGGTCAATTCATCTGGGGCCCGAGCAGTGTACCTCTTGATAACATGGGCAGCACCAACAGCAGGAGTGTTAATAGAGGATTCTTCATGAACTAGAAGGTGATTTCCCTTATTATCAATCTAGAACAAAGAAAATATACTATGAGATGGTTAAAGACATGGGACTTGCAAGTTTCTTGGTGTATCTATATAACTCAACTCGATTTAGAAAAACTATAACCCAAAGAATCGTAAAAGGAAAAAAAAAACCCCACTTACTGACTACTTACTATATACCAGTCATTGTATTGTACATATATTATATATATATAATTGAACCTTCACAACTTTAAAAGATACTTATCATCATTATCAGTACCTAACAATGAAGATGCTAAAGCCAAAGAGATTATGTAAATTACAGAAGATTAAATAATTTGTCCCAGATCACACAGTCAATAATGAAGAAACAAGATCTCAATGCAAGTTGTACTGGCTCTAAGTTCTATATTCTTTCTACTTTTCCTCATCTTCCCAATTTTCACTTAGAAAATAAAGTAACTTTACCTATGCAAATTTAAAAAAAAAATGTAACATACTGACTGGATACTCTATCACTCAGGAGATTCTTAAATCAGATCCTTTGAAAGGATTTAATTGTCTCTTGTTTCTAAATGACTAAAAACTATTTTCATTACTAAGTCAATTAAATATATATACACACACACACACACACACACACATACCTTGCTAAATTTATAAACATTAATATATTGAACACCGAAACAACAGGTGTCATTCTGATACATAAAATAATATTAAAAATAGCTTCCTGGATTATCAAAAAAGATTTGAGATAAAAATATTTAATGTACCATCTCTATCTTCCAGGAGACATGTATAAGCCCCACTTATTCGATTCCTGAAACTCAATAGCTATCAAAATTCACGTGGGATTTCTTTCGTAGGTAATTAACTCTAATAAAGAGTGAACTAGATTAATACCTCCATCCAAGTAAGGGCAGGTCCACAGTTGATCTTGTTCCCAGCAATAGCTGAAAGGCGGGACAGGTAAGCCATAAGCATCTGAGTGACCGACTAAAGAAAAAGAGAAGATTCAGTGGTAACAGCTTCTCACTGCTAAAGAAACTGGTGTAAACTGGTTGTTTCTGGGAGAAAAAAATCTGCAGATTTTCGGGCATTTTCATAGTCACAGAGGTTCTTCACAGAGGCTTCACAGCTCCATGAACTGACAGTACGGGCACTTAACATAATTTCCTATCTGTTGCATAATTCCCTTTCACTCTGGCCCCTCATCATCAGGGGTCATATAGCTTCTAATTTGGTTGCCTTCTCTTTCTATTTTTATACTGAAAATGTAAAATGATAGCACAGACATAATTACTTTCCTTCCCAGCTTCTCCCCACTACTCTGAAACTTTCTCCAAGGCCCGCTGCAGTCTTCGCCCACCCAGCCATGGCAGGACAGTCCATGCGTGGTCCTCCACCTCAAGTCAGCTGATGGTCCAGGCACGGGACCCAGCCGTAGCCTACCTAACAGGAGCTGCTGCAGGAAGCAGGAACTCCTAATTTCAGCTCCGTCTGGCTGCTATTTTACAAAGAGACAAGAACCCGGTACCTGTTGGGAGCGGTCATGTTCTGAGACAGTCTGAGAAAGAAAAACCAACCGACAGAGAAGGGAAATGGAGGCAGAGAGACATCCAGGTTTTCTATCATACGACAGAAACTGTGGTTTCAGGACATTCCGGAGGCTTTGCCACAGTGGCAGTTCTCGCATGAGTGGAGCCTCTACTTTGCCTCCACTATGTAATTGCCCAGGAATTAATTACAGATTTGGAAGGGTTTTCCCCTCAGGACTTGCACTATTCTCAAGCATCCATTGTGGCTGCTAAGCAGTCTAATGCCAATACATTCCTTGTTCCTTTGAGAAAAATCTCTTTTGCTCTCTGGAGGCTTTTTGGGTTTCCTCTCTGCTTCTGGCATTTTGAAATTTTACAATGTTTCTAGCTGTTATTATATTTAACACTTAATGGACTGATTTAATCTGAAAACAGGCTCTTTTTTAATTTAGGGAAACATTATGTTTTTGGAGAATGAAATGGCAACCCACTCCACTATTATTGCCTGGAAAATCCCATGGACAGAGGAGCCTGGCAGGCTACAGTCCATGGGGTCGCAAGAGTCGAACATGACTTAGTGACTAAATCACCACCACCATTATGTTTTTAGCCACTTCCATCCACTCTCTCCTCCTATAACAACTTCTATAAAGCAGCAGGAACTTGCAGGAGCTTCTAGATCTGCTCTCTGGGACTCTTGACTGTTCTCTCACAACTTTTTATCCCCTTGGGGCTGCGTTCTTACAGAGTTTGCCCTTCCTGCTCACTAATTCTCTCTTCGTCTAAGTCCATTTTGCATGTCGTCCGGCTATTAATGCTTGTTATTATTAAAATTAACTTAAATGACCATATGTTCATTTCTAAGAGCTCTGATTATTTTATTTTTATAAACTCTATCCTTATTCCATGAATGTGACTGACTTGCGCTCTCTCAGGATGGTAATCACGCTTCGGAAAGCCCTCTGTTGGCTCTTCCGTTACTTCATTTATTCCAGTTTTTACACTGAAGATTTCTAGTTTACCTGTCCCTCTGCAGTCCTCCTGCAGAAGTTGCTCCAACTGTATTATCTTACCCCCATAAATCTTATCCTGCCCACTCTCCAAGATGCCTCACAATTTTGGACTCCCTGATGGTTATATTCATTTTCTAATGTTATAAAACAATCTCCTTCCTCCTAAATTTAAAAAAAAAAAACAAAACTCTCTTATACTTTAACTAGAAAATTTTGACAGGCGAGCAAATAAGTGCATGGACACAGCCTGCCATCATAAACTGAATAAACAGCATTGTTTGAATATGCATGTCTTTCATTACTAGTGAGGTCAACATTTTTCCATATTTTTGCTTCTATAGTTTATATTCTCTCTGAAAAATGATCTGCTCACATATATCACCTACTTGTATATTAAGACATGAGTTTTTCTAAAATTATATAACAAACCTATTTTAAATATCCTAAAATATTACTAATTTTTCTACTATTTTAAGAAATAAATAATCCCACAAATCTTCCTGAGTCCTCAAAATAAGCTTTTACTTAGTATACTAGCAAAACTTTTCTGCTGATTTACATAATAGTGATTACTTCTGCAAAGTACTAAATGCTCACCTCTGGACTGTCCTTCAGAGCATCAGAACGGGGAAGCTCTGAGAGCTGGGAGAATCGTCGGTCATAAATACAAAGATGAAGATGTTTATCAAGTACCCGAAAATCTTCATAACTTCTTTTAACAATCCAACTTTTGCCCTACGAGTAAGAAAAAAAAGACCACTATAATTTGTCTCTATTGGGAGTGGTCATGTACCAGGCTTTATTCCATAATGATAGGTTATTCATAAGATTTTATATTTACTAATTAATTTGACAGTAAACAGTTAAACTCTGAAACCCTCTAGTGAGTTGTACAACATTAAAGCATTAATAATGGAAAATAAGCTAGAACTGTCCACTAAGCCTCTTCTTAATGACTGGTCAAGCCCACTGGTTCTCCCTGGGAATAATAACTGGTAGAAGGAAGATAGCATGTGATCTTAAACCCACAGAAAGAACCATTAAATGATTTTGTGTGGAAGACTACCACCAAAAATTAAAGAAAAATAAAATTGGGTTACTGATCAGTTACCATGAACATTTTCTGTGACCGACACTAGCAATGCACTGACAATCAACACTGCTAAAATCTCATCTGCAAGCCTTCAGGGTGCTTATCGTATCTAGAACCCCCTGTATCTCCCCAGTTTTCAGTCTTTCTTCCTTTCCTTGCCTAAGCTCTAAAGCTCATTAGATATGAAAATTCAGTCACAGAACATATTTATCACATACTGTCTTCTCATTTTCTCTCAAATCCATCACTTCATAGCCTGAGCTTTAGTGAGGACCCACAACACTTCTGACCTCCTTGCCTCTGGTCTCCTCCTCCACTCCCCTCCCCTAATAAGAACTACAAAGCTTGTCAGGTCACACTGACAGAAGGCCTTCAAAAGCTCCCGTGGGCGGTAGTGATGAATCGGTCTCCACTACACACCATTTGGCTTGACAATTTAATTTTTATGTGGGGGCTTTAGTCTCATAAGAATTTGGAGGAACTGGGAGAAAAAGCAACCATCTCAGAAATGAAGAAAAATCTCTAGTGTAGTTCTTTTCCATTTGCCTCTGTCAGATGGGGCAGAAGCAGAAGGTACCACTTCACAGGCGAGAGGCTGAATTCTAAACACAGGTATTGCCCATAACTAACAGGATAAATATGCCTAATCCTACTTTGGACTGCAATCCTCCATTACACAGAGAGCAATACCACCTCCCTCTTTCAGAGGGGGTTGTTAGAATGAAATAAGAGAACAGATGTGGCAGAAAATTTAAAAACAGTCCCTGGGTCCCAATTCTAAGAAATGCTAGTTCAGTAACTCTGGAATGGGATCGTTAATCTGATGATCAGCCTGATTTGGGAACCACTGATCAATCAAATCCAAACATACTTGCACATATGAGGACTTGCATCATCTGGGCCTGTCTAAATCTACAGTGTGATCCCACTCACTACTCCTCCATGCGCATCTTTCTTTGCTTTCAGTTATGCTCAAGTACTTGCATTTATTCCATTTGTAAAATGTTCCTTTTCTTGCCTACACGATTTTTAAGTGCTGTTCTTATACTATGCAAAGTCCTTCTTTTACTCTTTGCTCAAGTAAGCTCCTTTGTTTTCTCACTTCTATAGCTGCCATCTACTCAAAGCACTTCTGAGTTACAACAGTGGGTTAAATACTTGTTCCTTTGGGATGGCAAAAATAAGAAATAAATAAAAATGAACAATAAGGCAGAGAAAAAGAAAAACAACTTATTGCATAGTTACAAATATTTTTTCTTTCACACATATATTTCAAGAATTATGCAACCCTTCAAATATCAGAAAATTATCAAAATTATTTTAACATATGTATATTTCTATCAAAGAGATTAAACAGATGGTGACTTTTTATTTCAAAGCTCTGGATTTTTAAAAATTGAAATATAGTTGATTTACAGTATTGTGTGAGTTTCAGTTGTACAGCAAAGTGATTCAGTTATACTATATATATTATTTTTTCAGACTATTTTTCACTATAGGTTATTACAAAACAATAGATCTTTTACCTCCTAGGTTAAATTTATTCCTAGGTATTTTATTATTTTTGATGCAATTGTGGAATTGCTTTCTTAATTTCTCTTTCTAGTAATCTGTTATTATAGTTCATAGACATGGAACTGATTTTTGGTGAGAAGTTTGAAGCTTTCCAACTAAGATTAGGAACAAGGCAAGGAGATCCTCTCTCATCACTGTTTTTAAAAACTGTATGGAATTCCTAGCGAGTGCAATAAGACAAGGAAAGGAAATAAAAGATATACAGATTGGGAAGGAAGAAATAAAACTGCCTTTATACACACATAACATGATCGTCTAGGTAGAAAACACAAAACAACAACAAAAAAACTTCTAGAACTAGTAATTGATTATAGCAAAATAGCACGATACAAGGTTAATAAACAAAAATCAACTGCTTTCCTATATATCAGGCAATAAACGGGTGGAATCTGAAATTAAAAACACAGTACCATTTACGTAACTGCCCCCAAAACGAAATAGTTAGGTATAAATCTAACAAAATATATAGAAGATCTACATGAGGAAACCTACAAAACTCTGGTGAAAGAAGTCAAAGGGCTAAACGTGGAGAGATGTACCATGTTCATGGACAGGAAGACTCAGTATTGCCACGATGTTAATTCTTCCCAGCTTGATCTATAGATTCATAATGCTTCCCCAGACAAAATCCCCACAAGTTATTTTTCTGTATATTGACCAATTGATCCTAAAGTGTTTGTGGAGTGGCAAAAGACCCAGAATAGCTAACACAATACTGAAGAAAGTTGGAGGACTTACGTATGTAACTTCAAGACTTACCATAAAGTTACAATAATCAAAACAATATGGTACTGGCAAAGGAATAGAAATATACATAAATGAAATAGAATAGAAAGCCCAGACACAGACTCACTTAAATACAGTCAACTAATGTTTGATTAAAAAAAAAAAAAGCAAAGGTAAAACAATGGAGAAAAGACAGTTTTGTTTTGTTTTAAATTTTCAACAAGTGACACTGAAACAACTGAACACCCACAGACAAAAAAATAAATCTAGACACAGACCTTACACCTTTCACAAAAACTAATTCAAAAAGACCTCAATAAGACACAAAACCATAAAACTCTTAGAATAGAGCATAGGAGAAAATATAGACAACCTTGGGTTTGGTGATGCCTTTCTTTAGCTATAAGAGCAAATGTAAAATCCATGAAAAAAAGAATTGATAAGCTTGACTTCACTGAAATTAAAATTTTCTGCCCTGTCAAGAGAATGAAAAGAAAAGCCACAGATGTGGGAGAAAATATTGGCAAAAAACATACTATTGATAAGGGATTATTAAGCAAAATATACAAAGAACTCTTAAAAATCAACAATAAGAAAACAAAAAAACTGATTTAAAAATGGACACCTTACCAGAAAGATATATAGATGGCAAATAAGCATATGAAAAGACACTCCACATCATATGTCATCAGGGCAAGGCAAATATAAAGAAGAAGATAACACTACACACCTAATGCTGCTGCTGCTGCTAAGTCGCTTCAGTCGTGTCCGACTCTGTGCGACCCCATAGATGGCAGCCCACCAGGCTCCCCCATCCCTGGGATTCTCCAGGCAAGAACACTGGACACACCTAATAGAGTAGCAAAAATCCAGAATACTGATAACACCAAATGATGTTATATAAATTCCTGTTATATAACAGGAATTTCCTTTCTTGCTGGTAGGAATGCAAAATGGTATGGCTTCTTTCATAGACTTTACACTTTCTTACAAAATTACTCATACTCTGTTTTACCATAGGATCCAGCAATTGCACTCCGTGGTGTTTACCCAAATGAGTTGAAAAGTTATGTCCACACACAAACCTGCACACAAAGGTTTACAGCAGCTTTACTAAAAATTGCCAAAGCCTGGATGCAACTGACACGTCCATTAGCTGGTGAATTGATATATAAACTTTGGTACATCCAGACAATGGACTATGACTCAGCACTAAGATGAGGTAAGTATCAAGCCACGAACAGACATCGAACTCTGTGAAAGTCACCATCCTGAAAAGGCTATATATTATACGATTCCAACCATAGGACACCATAGAGAATACAAAACTATAGAGACAATTTAAAAAAAAATTGGCGGTTGCCAGGGGCTAGGGAGCAATGAGAGATGAATAGGTAGAACACAGAGAACTCAAAGGCTAGTGAAACTATTCTGCATACTATAATGGTGGACACACATTTCAAATTTATCCAAACCCAGAGAATGAACACCACCATGCCATGAGTGAACCCCTATGACAATGGTATGTCAGTGGAGGCTCATCTGTTGTAATAATGTACCACATTAGTGGGAGGATGTCCATAGTGGAGAAGGAGGTGCATGTATGAGGACAAGGGATACATGGGTACCTTGTATTTTCCACTCAATTTTGCTGTGAACCTAAAATTAGTCTTTAAAAAAATCAAGTTTATTAAATTTATAAAAAGTAATCATGTTCTCTTCTCTCTAGAGACTCTTGCTCAAAGAAATAAATACCAAGCAACCACATAAAGGCAATAGCTCAGAGACTCAGAGACTCAAAAGGTAAAGACTGAGGACTGGATTTAAAAATTGCTTTCCTCATACATCAATAAACCGATTTCTTTCAACTTTTAAGAACTGTTCCGTGCAATTAAAATGTCTGCTCTTTAATACAGATTTACACACAGGAAATTAAAAGCTTAAACATAATTTTCAAATCCTCTAAAGTTGCTTTAAAGTCACTGAGTAAAATTCTAAAAACAGCAAAATACCTATCTTTTTAGTGAATATGGGAGAAGAACTTTAAATTTTATATGTACAAACAACCTTAATCATGCAATTTCCAAATAAGCTGAATAAAGTAAATGATCAGAATAGTCCAGAAATTCAATTATTTATTATAAAGAACAAAACAAAAAATTCATTATACATGTCTAAATTTTAATTTGCAGCTAATTTCTAACCTGAATAATGTATCAGTAAGTATTGTTCTCCAAGGATAACAAAAATCAATAATTCTTAACAAAGATAATAAAGAATAATAATTCTTAACAAGGATGAGAAAAAAGAAAAATCCCAGTATGTACAAGATCAAATTCCT